GTGAGCAATTTAAAGGGGTCTGAATACTTTCCGTACCCACTGTATGTATCTCATTGTTCACAATGCTGCTGTTTTCTTAAATGTTACATTAGCTGGTTGTCTTTTCCATAATTTGTACCTGTGATGGATTCCCAGAACTCCACACTTACCTTCAACTTACCTTCAAACTTTTACTAGTTTCATCCTCAAGAGTTTAGGAGAACTGTCCTCTAGTGGCTGGAGTCAGCGTAACTCATTGTAACACATGTTTAATCTGTGTTTGTCAATTTGAGAATCCATTTGGTGAAAAATTTGAAATTTAGCACAAAGGAAAAGGCTTGAAAAAACAGGTGGAATGTAGTATTGTCAGTAGATCATGAAATCATAACTTGGCCTCAGTAGATTTAATGATATAAATTGTAAAATACTTGATACCTAAATATTTTGTTTATTTACAATTAAATGAAATTATTGTTCACATTGTTAAAAAAAATATTCTGTGTTTGTTGTTTTTGTGTGTGTGTCAGTGAGTCAGTCATCTCTGCCACTGCATTAAAAGCAGAGGGTCTATTTCTATTTCTATGGGTCTGGCTAATATTGACTAAGTATAGACGTAATAAAATCTCTTCAGGTCAGGTTTCAATTATTTCTAGTTAGTCTCCTATAGTAACAGCAGGAGCCCCTGCAGCACATCCTATAATTAACTAATTGGTGTCACCTGGTGGACATTCAATAGCTGCAGGGTTTCCCAGAGTGTTTTATGGAGGTGGTGACCAGCACACACAGTTCTCCTCTCACATTTCTCATCATTCAACCAATCCCGCTGGTCTCTGGCGAAACCCCATCGGTCTTTAGTCTTCACGGGTTTAGGCATCCTGTGCACTGCTGTAGCAGTAGGCTTCGGTATTCTCCCAGGAGGGATAGCAACCTAATGCAGGAATAACACAGCAAAGCCCTCATCTATTCCCGGCAGTGCATTATTAATGGGAGTGGTGGCTGGTGAGTGCAGGAGCTTCTCCTCACTAATGCATCCATTCCTCATTGTTCCATGTCTGGTGAGGAAAACACAAACACATGCTGCCTTTTTACAGAGCTACACGTGCACATACGCATGCGCGCACGCACACGCACCCACACACACACACCCACACACACACAGATAATAATACATCTAATAATTGAATGTCATTTTTCATTATGATAACTTTTACTTTATTTTGATTTACTTTTTCATCTGCAGCTTATACTTCTAAGTAAACTTTTAAATGCACAACTTTTAGTTCATAGTAATTTCCAATTGTTTTATTGTCACTTTTACTTTTTTATATTTATACTGATACTGTCTATCTGTTAGAATAATATACAAACGTTTTGGGTAAACCTGAAGCAGAACTATGTAATCTTCATACCATAGTTGCTCTACTTGCTCAGTATCTGGATACAAATGTTTCTGATATTGAGCTTGATGTCTAAAGTAACTCAAATATGCAATTTCTTACAGAAACATTCATCTTCCCAGAAGATTCCCAGATTTCGCAGAAGTGTGAAGGTGGCTGTTTCAAATCCTTTGTGGTTAAAGCAGTTTGATATACTATGTCCTTTGTGCAACTATGAGATTGAAGCTATCAATAGAATAAATAAAAATGAGACATGACATTAACTTGTTTGTTTTTTCATTAACTTTTTTATTGAAGACAGCGTCAACCATCTTCCAATACATCATAAATTACAACTAAGGTGGCCAAAAGATAGAAAACATACATTTAAAAATACACAAAAACGATATCTGACACATTGTTTGCATGGTTATAATACTATAATAGTCTATGAAATCGAATGAAATCAGACTTTAAAGTCTTGACCAGTACAGAAACTATTTAAGATGGTGTTTCTTGTTATGTGCAGAGACGTTTTTGCTCCTGGTTTGGCCGGCAGGACTGCTCCTCTGTGTCCGTCCTCTCGTCTTTCTGTCTCGCTCCTTGTCGGGGTTCGACAGTTTCCTCAGCAGCTCTACAACAGAACAGTTGAATTTAAATCGTGACTTAAAGTCTGCTGGTTGGTTCAGCACTGTTGAGCTGCTGCTGATTTTTGTTACCTGTTAACTCGGGATGACTCTGGCTGCAGTTGTTTAGGAGAGACACATATTTACGACCTCCAGTATCATCGTCTCCTGAAGGGAAGTAAAGTCATGAACTTTAATGTGTAATAAAACAGCTTGACAAGGTTATAGTTTGTCAGACTTTTCCCCCATAAAACAACATGAAATATACTTTTGTTACAGTAGAATACCTCCCCGAGCAGCAAATCAAACTACTATATCCTCCAAAATGAAAATATAATATACTAACATTTTATTATACTAGATTTACCTATGTATTGTAAAAAATGCCACACTTTTACATTCACTTTCCAAAATTTGGGTTGTGATATGTTAATTATTTTGTCAGTCAAACACATGTTACCTCTGAAACTTTAAAAAGCACCATCATTTGTTTGTTCTATGATTGTTATCGACCTTTTCCCCCCCAAATATTAAATTACCAGACAAACTAGATGGACTCACGGCACACTCGCAGCAGGGCGTAGTATTGTCTCTCTACCAGCACGCTGCTGGCCAGAGCCACACTTTGCTGCTTCCCCTCCAGGTTCATCACTCTGCCGCTGCTGTCCATCAGGTCCACACACTCTGCAGGAGGAATTGTAGGATTTATTTTTATACATAGCACTCAACATTAAATACTTTGTACTTACAAATCAATGGAAGTGGTCAATAGATGAAGATGTTGTGAGACAATCTGACTGCATAGAGTTGGTGCTTTATGTGCATTATGCTGCCTTTGCATTATATTGATCCCAATAGCAGATAAAAGGAATTTTAATGGATAATTAAGCTTCATTAATGGAAGATTTCAGCCTATTCTTACTGCAAGTCCAAACCACTAACAGTGTTGAGAGCTGTTAAGTACCTTTGAGGTCCAGACCGCATCTCTCTTTTAGATGATGGATGAAGTTTATCAGTTTACAGTTGAGATTGAACATTTCCATCCTGCTGTCTTTCAAGAAAAAAGAAAACTATTGAAAACACTACGTTGCACAATAAACTTTAAATCTTTCATAATGCTAGTTTATCCTCCCTGTACTCAGGCAACCAACCACTCTCAAATAACAATAACCAAACCTCAAATAACAGTTTCAATCCTACATCAACAGTATTATTGGTTACATTTTGTCCTACTTGAAAAGCTGCAAGAATATAATACATCCAGGAACTTTACTAACCTCCGAGCAGGATAGTGACAAACATGTTCTGGTCCTGACTGCAGTTAGACTCCACTAGTTCTGCCACTACCGGCACCTGTTTATTCCACAGAGCCGAGGGAGTAGTTTGGACTGGGCACAAAATGCAACAATGGAGGCTGTTAAATCAATGTTGTGGTCGACACTTTGTGACAAAGACTCAGCTCGGAGGGAGAAGCTGTATGAACTGGCCTGCATAATGTAGAGATGGTAAACACACACACACACACACACACACACAAACCTCTTTTGCATCGTCGTCCTCTTCTTCTACTTTCAAAGCAGAAGCCTTTTAAATGAGGGAGACAAGGGACTGCAGCTGCTCGTATCCATGGAGTCTCTACACACAGACAGACTGGCACTCTGGACTTTATAGATACATGTTGGACAGTGATGTCAAGACTGGCAACACAAAAAGAGGCTTTGTTGTTTCCCGCCACAGATTGGAACTAAGAAATGAAGTAGCCTGACCAAACCCTGTTTCTACTTACTGACTGTAAAACCTATGGATGCGAGTTTTAATCCAGTTTTAATCTTAGTTCAGAATTAATTTATGAGGGACAACACAATAATCACTATTATCTCCCCACAAAACATTACAGTGATAAATCAACAGCTCTATAGCCTAATCAGTACTTATATGTTTGAGACTTAAAAGGGCAATATTCAATATTTTTATAATAATGTCTGATATAAGAATGTAAAATGTTAATTTGACTGTGAGAAAGGTTGCCTCTTTACCTTCTCACATGCCCAGATCCCTACATTCAGCTGAGCCAGCTGTGCCTTGTTAGGCATGTCCTTTAGTCTAATTGAATGTTGCAGGAAAGAGTGAATAAGTAAGCATTTTTGCACTTCTTTTTTGGATGGATTAAACAAATGTAATATAGCTTTTTGATTAGTGAGCTTCAGCTAGCCGTTTTCCTCTGCTTCCAGTCTTTATGTCAATCAAATAAGTATATTTGCAAAAATGACTATTTTGAACTATTCCATTATTATAAAATATTGATTCAGAGCAACTTTGAATGATTTCAAACAAATAGACACATTTATAGTTTCTTTGCGATGGCAATCAAGTTATCTCACTGGATCCTTGAAAAAGCGTTGAAAAAGAAGAGGGGCCTGCACCCTGTAACCTGAACTCACAAGGGAAAAGCCAATGGGAAGCCTGGAGCTGCTCTGGTATAGTACACTTGAAAATGTAAAGGGATCTATTTAAAGTTACTGTGAGGAACTTTAAACTGGTTATGAAACAGACTCAATGGAAAACTGATGCCTCTATATGTCCTACATAAGTAAACGAGACCATCAGGGAGAAGATTAATTCTATATACAGTATACAGTAGTTATTCTTGATGCTTGTCGTCTGTCACACAGGGTCGGATTTGATGCAAAATCAGATAAAATCATGCTGGTTCACCAGAAACTCCTCCAGCTCAGATTCCAGCAGGGCCTCCAGTAGCGACCAGTCCATAGTGGAAAGACCCAGACCCGGCTTCGCTTCTGCCTTCCACCTGCAGTCGGGAGCTCCGGCGGAAGGAGGAGAGCTCAGCATCCGGCAGCAGCGTCTCCTCTACTGACCAGGAGCAGAGCTTCGCCTCCCTTACCCCGCTAGGAGTCAATACCGACACCCCGTTGCTGGAGACCCAGGCCGTATTGCTGGGCCCAAACCAGGACTGAGTGGAGCAGACCGTCAGACCCTGCTACAGTAAAATGAGAGGTTTTCTAAAAGAACTCTGGTGCTTGCAAAAGCTACCATTTTTGTCCACAGGAACCACCAAAATCAACACAAAATGAAAGTCCCTTGCAGTAACTTTAAAGACAGGACTTTGCCTGCTTGTGATTACAAAGAAGGCAACAGCTGCGCTGGACTGAGGACACATTCATCAGGACAATGAAAACCAGAACTTCTTCCATGAGTTGATCTAAATCTAAAATAATAAAAATAACAATTTCCAGACATTCATCAAATCACAGACGTCACCATTTACATGAATATAATTGAAATAAGTCAAGTCACATTGTCACACTGAGCAAACAAAAATACGAGGTTACATCTCAGCATTGCATTGCCAACATTGGGGCCCTTGCCTTTCAACATGTGTGACATGAACCGATCTGTCACTGGTGAAAGTGCTGTTCTGGTTTTTTAAACCAATCAGAACTTGTTCATTTTATGTGTGAACGGACATTAATCTATGCCATGAAGATGGATTACAATGTGCGAGGAGGGATCAGGCCGAATGTGAAAAATGTTTAAATGAGCGTGAACTTTGCTAAGCAGGTTGGTGACACTGTTTGTGGTCCATGCAGGTCCTCAGGATGGACTGAATCTTAAAATGGTGCACATGATGGTGCAATACTGCATAAGAAATAATCATCTGCCCATTGTGATGCATGTTATAGGAAGAAATCCATCAGAGTGCGTTTATATCCACATTTCACATCCCTGAACATTTTCTAAATGTACCAATAATGTATTAATAAGTATTTTTCTTCAGCCAAAGGCCCATTCAGACCACAAATGTCAGGATCATATTTACATGCATAGTATGGTATATTACTTCAACCTGCAGTTAAACAAGTAGTTTAAAGAGAGTGAGGGTCAATACTGTGACTTCTTTTCCATTTTGGCTAAGCTTTGGTGGGTCATGCAATTTCACTAGTCAAAGAGCATTTGTATTAAAACCCTAAATATTCGTGACGACGAAGCAAACGCATTTAGTAATCTTGTTTGTTGAATTTAATGCGGAGCCGTTTGTGATGTGTGAAGTGCCTGCATCTTAAAGATAGACGTGTCAGTCGCTCAGTCGACTTGTGGTCATGAGGGGTGAAGCAACACAACCTCTTTGGGTTACTAGCAGTGCTCTTAGACTTTTAGTCTGGTTTAAATTAACAAGTCATTGTGTTTAAATACTGGAGAGTTTCTCACGGCGAGGAATTTTAAATCATTTGCTGTCCATTATCTGTTTACAGTGCTCCCACTTCCATTGCGGATCAGAACTTTTCCCAATGGTCTGTGAGCCGCTGCTGAGCTGACGTTGGCATGTTACTGCAAGGCTCTTGACTATCAGGGAATGTGCACGCGTCACAACACCTTTGCCAGCTCACTATAGCAGCTCTTTGTGTTCTGCTTGTTCAACAGCAAGGTGACCTGGCCGGAGCCGAGGTTCTCTTTGTCCTTGTCCTCCACGACTTCTGTTCCGGCGCAGTCTGCTGGACTCCAGCGCTGCTGCTCCGTATCCTGCAGACGATGGCCTATGTGGATTGGAGCGTGTCCGAGGGTTTGCAGTGGACAAGGGCCTATTTTAGTACAGTGGGAGATGATGAATGACAGAGGGGGGCGGGATACTGCCACCAAGCCGCCCCCTACAGGAGACATGTGAGTTGGACAGCGGTAGGAGCTTTCACAGCTACTGCTGCTGCTGCTTTGTTCAGTGAAAAGGTCAACGCTCAGGCTGTTTAGCTTGAGTCTGATTGAGCTGCGCTTACCGCTGCCGCTCTCCAACAGCTCCTGCTTGCCCAGGATGTGGCGGCGGATGATCTTGCGGAAGGTTTGTCGGAACTCCCGTATGCGGTAGGCGTAGATGAAGGGGTTGACCACAGAGTTGCCGTGGGAAAGAATGATGGCCACATACATGATCCAGGATGGAGGACGCTGACACTGAGGACAGAAGAGGGTGAAGCAGTTGATGATGTGCAACGGCAGCCAGCAGACTGCGAACAGCCCGACAATGATGGCCAGAGACTTGGCAGCCTGGACCTCTTTCTGCAGCGTGGAGCGGGACTTCTCCCCATGGACCGCTTTCACCTCCATCAGCTTGAGCTGGTGGCGAGCGGCCATGAAGATACACAGGTAGATGGCTAACATCAGCAGCAGGGGAATCAGTACGCAGGCAAAGAAGTTGAAGTAGACCATATACTCCATGGACACCACATCCTCAAACAGGCACCCCATCAGGCCAGGCGGGCAGGTGACGTTGGTGTTGCTGGTCAGCTTGTGCCAGCCCATCATGGGGGTCAGACCGATGATGATGGATAAAACCCAGCAGATGGCGATGATGCCTTGAGCCCGCTGACCTGTCACCAAGCTGGTGTACCTGAAGAGGGAGACGAAACAAACATCAAGCGTCAGCTCAAACGTCCGCCAAAAACTGCAAAATTGTAATTAATAATACTTTGTAAACATGTGAAGTTCCCCTCGACTTATAATTTGATCAGCTGATTGTTCCTTGGAAGCACTTCTCCTCCCGGAACTAAAAGAGAGGATAAATAAACAAAGTCCTCATAGGAAGAGTCTATTTTGAGTACGCCTGTGTGGGAGAGCAGCTGAGATATTTGCCTTGGTTCTATCACATTCTTGAGATGTTAAAGTGCAAAGGTTA